ACTTGTCATTCTTAATAATAGGGTAGTCATAAAACCAATTGGGGCAAAAACTAGGATTGTTTCATGAGAAGAATAGATAGTTTGAATTATAAAATTGCATGAGAGAAATTACAAGTTTCATGATAAGTTCTGATGATACTTAAAATTTGCTTCATTTTTTCCCCCCTTAAAGAGAGAGGAAGTCTTTTGGAGAGAAATTATTTTAGTATTTTTAAAAACCAATTTGGAAATGTCTATTGAAACTATTCTTCAGTACTCTTTGTTTCCCACATGAAAAGGTTTAGCTATTTACACACATTGAGGTTTTACAAATAAAATATTCTCTGAGAAATTGTTCTTTGGGTCTTTTTCAAATTTTAAAAATTATTTGAAGTCAAATGTAAATATTATCTCTTTATAGGTGTTAATTAACCATGGATCCTTTTGCATAAAGTTTTAACTTCTAGGGAAAATAGATTCTTTTTATGAATTTTTATTCCCTTAAAGATTTTCTATATAATTTTCTTAAGATCACCTCTCTTTCTGTTTGTTATATTTTTAATAGCCTAAAAAAACTATACATTTAAGAAAAAGATCTTTTTGACATTACTAAGCATTTAACTAAATCTACATAGAGATAACTACTTTACTTTTCAAAACAAAGACAATTTGCTTTTCTTTGCCATCTAAAAATTCTTACTAATATAAGCTATATATGGGCCAGGGATTTAGTTCAGCGGCATAAGTGCCAGTCTGGCAAGCACGAGGTTGTGAGTTCCATGCCAGGTACCAAAAAAAAAAAAAAAAAAAAAAAAAAAAAAAAAAGAATAAATAAAACCCCCAAAACAAAAAAACATATTACTTGACTAGCTAATATATATCTAGATTATCTTGACTAGATTATATATATATTACTTGACTAAATAAAAGAAAAAATAACATGTTCCTCACTTGAGTTTTTCGTGTCTTCTATATTTTTTCATATTTATTCATTTCAATAATAATTTCTTCTTGTATCGGGAAATTCATTCAATTTATCATTTATTGGGTGCCTGCTGCAGATAAACCACTTTTCCAGGAATTTGGTATGCAGCAATAACCAGAAAAGACCCTCTAGCCTCATGAAGCTTTCATCTAGTGAACAAGATAAATAAATATTTGTAGGCTAGAGAGTACTAAGAAGAAACAAAACGGGAAAGAGGACAGGTGAAATACAGGGAGCACTGAAACTTTTGATGGGTTGACTTGGAAGGCATCACTGAAAAGCCTTCTCAGAAAAGACCTGAAGGAGATGAGCCCTTTCAGCTGCCTGGTGGGAAGCATTCGAACCCTGGAGGACAGCCAGGAGGTCAGTAAGAAAGTACTGGGGAGTCTGGGACAGTGTAACATTGGGGAAGAAACCAGAGATAGTGTTCAGGAGCCACATTGTGTAACAACTGTTTGTTTGACTTACACAATTATCTTTTCTTAGTATGTAGTTTTCCTGAGTATTAATGTTTCTGTTCTTTCTTAATCTTTATAGATTACATGCTTTTCCTTTTATGAGTTTAATAAGCAGTTTAAAAAATCTGTTACCATTTCTTAGCAATAGCATATACATTAATTAGTCAAAGATTTGTTCTTTTGGGAAAACACATGATCTCATTTTTCTTCATGCCATTTAATTTCATGATTGAAATATATGTAATATAATTTCTTCTTAGGCTGCAGATCTTTGTTACTGTTCTATAAATGTGATTAACAATTCAGTTGCCTTAATAACTTCCATTGACATCTTTAAAAAAAAAATTATAAATTTAAAAACCTAAAACTGACAGTTACGACTTTTCTTAGGTTTTCTTCAAGAATTTGCTCTGGCTTGCTGTTCAGTCAAAATAAATTATTTGCTTTCTATGAAATGAAGAGGAACCTAAGTAAATAAATTAAATCTAATTGAGAGAAGTCAGGGGAGTTTGAACTCAGATTGACTTTAATGATTTGTTACATTTTATATTAAAATGGACATTTGAAGCAAAAAAATTCCACTGTTTAGCTACTTCATGAATACTTGTGTAGCTCTTTCTGAACTTCAGTTTCCTTTCTTGTAAATGGGAATCAATTGGCTTACTTTAGATGCTTAACATATTGTTTTGAGAATATAATTGCCTGATATATGTGAATGCTCTCTAAAAAACTGTTTAGTGCTATTCAGTATTCTCGAGTCCATTAGGCTGTCTATGCATGTCTTAAACTTTTGTTAAATTTTAATATTCACTGGCTTTTTTCTATCTAGATAATTTTCAACATTTATAACTTTTCCTTTTGGGCTGAAGGTCCCCTTAATATTGTTTTTTTGGAATGGCTTCTACAATGTAAATGAACAAGTCTTGGCTGTCACCCAACAGCACCAGGGTGACTTTACTCTTAAGTTGCAGTGACCTCTGGCATGTACCTCAGTAAGAATTTGACTTCTCTTTGAAGACAGCTGTTAGCAATTGCAAATAGGCTTGATTGAAACTTTTTAGTCATGTTAAACGGTCCTTCATTAGGAACCAGAAACAGCAGTGCACTACTACCTCACCAGTATTCCTTGGCCTATCTTCATTTACAGGACCTTTAGTGAAATGTATATGAAGCACTAAGTTGAGGGAAAATAATTATAGGAGCTTATTGGTTCACCAGCAGAAAGCAGCAGAAGCTTTGAAGAGAAGACTTTCACAAATGTATACTGCTGCTGGGTTGGAGTGTTTAGGGCATAAAAACTTTAAAGTTTTTAAAATGTGAAAGAATCAGAATAAGTAGGAATTTCCAAACTTGGTTGTATATTAGTTATCTAGAGCCTTTTCAGCTCCTAAATACCAGGTTCTGCCTTGCACTGAAGGTGAATTGGAATGTCTGTAGGTGTGAGCCAGGCTTCTGCAGTTTTTAAAGATGTCCATATGATTACCTCTGTGCCACAGAGTCATGAGTATGTGGCTCTGGCCTCTATTCTTTTACTTACCTTATGGTGTTTCTCAACCGTTAGCACCATTGATGAGAGTTTGGCAGTCATATTAATAAAAACATTTGAAACTAGAGAGTAATTTTCCTCAAGCAGATTTGGGGTCTACATTTTCATAGAGTATGTACTACCTTGTGTAATCTTGTGTACTGAACTTCTAAGTTTCACTGCTGGCCCATTCTATGTGTATTTATTTATGTTATTTTTCTCCATTTACTACAGATACTTACTTAACAGCTTTAAATAAAACTATGCCTTTTAATTTTTTTCCACTGTAGTAATTAACTGTTACAGATTGGCCTAAATTTGTGGAATCAGTATAAGTCTGAAGGAATCAATTGCTTAGTTCTATCACGACCATAGTAATATTAATTGTAGTATGTGAGACAAAAAACTGTCCCTGTTGCATCACTACCCATCTTGTAAGTGAATAACGGTCTTCCCAAATACGGTTTATTAAGTCGGTCTCAATTTAGTCTGATTTTAAAAATAGATTTTTAGGTGTACAAAGGGGAAACTTCTAAGTAGTGTGGTTTCTAATGTTGATAAGAGTTAGAGTTCTGCGTATACATCCTTCAGTATTTGCCTAAGAGTTGACATAAGTTCAATTAGTCATAGTATGATCTTTAATATAGTAAAAATTGTAGTTTTGTTTACTTAAAAATTTTGTTTCATGGTCTATGTGAAATATGTGTAGGAAAAATGCAGTACATGCACTGATGCTCTGTGGATTTTTCCTTTCTCATTTAAAATTAAATACCATGACACTGTTGTCTCCAGTGCTGTCCAAGTATTGTAAATTACAGAAATTTGTATGATGTAAATATTTGGCTTAATTCATATCATTCAGTTATCCAGTTTTTGTTTTGGAACTTTTGTTTTTCTTGTTTTGCATTTTTATTTTGTTTTGTTTTCAGCCATCATTTTGTCTTATCATCTTCAATTCTAGAGCAACCTGACAACAATAATGATACCACTGAATTGGGCATCCTTGTCATTCCTGAGATTAGTGTCACAAATGTGTCCGGAGAAAGAACCGGAAATGGGGAAAAAGGCAGAACTCTAGGAGAGATTGATGCTCAGCATATGCAGGGTGTGCAGGAAACAGCCACAGATCCTAGAGCTGAGAGCAAAGGCTTGCCAGAGATCAGGAGGCAAAAATCTGTAAGAAAAATGATGGAGGATGGAATAAACTCACCTGGCAGAGTGCAGTTTTAGCAGAGCACTTTATAGCTGCACTCCAAGGTATCTCAAGGCAAAGGGTCACTGATGCATGTTTAGCAACAGTTACAGTCACAAAATTTTTGCATGTCATCTAATAAAATGCATGAATTATGCATCATGGTTTCTTAATGACTCAATGCTCTTTGGAATGGTCATGCCTACAGTGTCTCTCAGTAAATTGTTATGAAAAATGAGGCAGAAAATTGCTTCTGAAGGAATTTTCTGTTTTATGCTTTGGTATCTAAAATTATTTTTAAAATTTTTATATTTTTGCCATCTATTGTATGAATGATAATATATATTATTTTAATGTTTCAAGCTTGTGATATTTATCAATTTAGATTTTTTTTTTTAGTAAAATAATCAGAATGGAGAATGAAACCTTTAAGAAAACACTTTAAAATATTCTAAAGCTACTTTTCAAATAGTTCTTTGGCTATAGCTCTGATTTTTACTGCTTTGCTACTGGGGAAAGTTTTGCACTAGTTTTAATGTGTGGTAGTTTTTCTAATTGTCTGTAATCTTTTGCATGAATAATAAAGGAGCTCTTTCTAAAAACACAGTAGGATATGGTTAATGGCATGCTTTTTGTTTAATCTACTCTAAATTACTGTCATTTAATTGCAATCAATTATTTTTGATATTTTATAGCATAAATTTTTAATTTATCCTTTGATTTTGTTCTATAATCTATTGCTTTGTGAAATTATGCTACAGTTTAATTTATTTAAACATAATTGATTTGGTATTAATCTTTTTTTAAAAAAATTGCTCAAGATACTTAATGTTAATTGATCTTTGTCATTTCTTTGTTTAGGAAATACAGAATTTACAGGTCAAGAAGAACTGATGGAGATATCTGAAGTTGACGAGGGATTTTATTCCAGGGCTGCCTCTAGTACCAGCCAGTCGGGTTTATCAAACAGTAGTCACAATTGTAGTAACAAGACAAGTGTAGGAAAGAACCAGAGACGGTCAGGAGGAAGCAAAACTGGAGGAAAAGAAAAAGAAACTACAGGGGAATCTTGCAAAGATCACTTTGCTCGAAAACAAACTCAGAGAGCCCAAAGTGAGAATCTTGAACTTCTCTCTTTGAAGAGACTAACTTTAACCACCAGCCAGTCCCTACCTAAGCCTAGTAGCCATGGTTTGGCTAAGACGGCAGCGACTGTATTTAGTAAATCCTTTGAACAAGTCAGTGGTGTCACAGTCCCACATAACCCGTCACCTGCTGTTGGTTGTGGGACTGGGACAGATGCCAATAGGTTTTCTGCTTGTAGTCTCCAAGAAGAAAAGCTTATTTATGTTTCAGAAAGGACTGAACTTCCAATGAAGTATCAAGCAGGTCAGCAGAGACCTCCTAGTATTAGCATTACTCTGTCCACAGATTAATTTGTAACATAGTTTTCTTATATCCAGTAAATATGGAAATATGACTGCTCCTTAATGAAAGTACCCTGGTTCTTTCATGCCTGTTCCTAACATGAGCCCTTACATTATGAAGGTTCCCTTGATCCTGATGAAGGGAAAATGCCTAGGTTAGTGAAGGGGAGTAATGTCTAGAGTTGCAGCAAGTTGAAATATGGTTTTGTTATTTCTTGGTTTGCCCTCTCCTCAATGTTACTGTTATCCTAAGATTGTGGTGTGGCAATAAATATTGGCAGGTTGTCTAATCAAGTTGGTTACATCTTCTGTGACATTTTGAGTTTGTTTTTAATACCTTCTATTTTGGTAGCTGTGTGTTTGCCCTTCGCAGTTAAAGGGCATCTCCACGTAAGGAAACTGGCTTATAAAGATGGGACAGAGGAGCAAGTTCAGGAATTCCACAGCCGGCCTTTCAGCCATGTACCTGGAAAACAGGTACATGCAAAAACCAAAATGCCTACTGTGAAAAGTGCTGGTAAAAACCGCTTGTAACCAAGTCATCTTTAAGATTAGAACAGTTTGTTCAAAGCACTGGAAAATGGCTGCCCAACTCACAGATGTGTTTTCATGTGATTATTATGTGGTTCCAGGAGATGGGCAGGGACATTTTGTTGATATATTTGGAACGTTTTTAATATCAAAACTCAGATTGCTGGCAGATAATGTTGTTATAAACTGTTTGATCTGGGTTTAGCAGGTGAAAATTCCTTTAAATTCCTAAGGTATAATAGGCCATAAAACTGATCCTGCTGCTGGACTTTGGAAATCCTAATTAGGTTGGATTCCTATAATTCAGAGCACACATCACTGAAGACTTCCTGGAAATCATTATAAATCTTGCAACACAGCTCTCAAGAAACCATTATCAACTTCATAATACTGAATTGTTTATCTGCAAATGAAGGAAATTAGATAAGTTTTTCATCTGTAAGATGTCATGAAAGAAAATATATAGTGAAATATAGACAAAGGACATTTATATATTAACTAATTTAGAGTTGTTTATGTCTGTCTTAAATAAATATGAAAAAATTAAATGTATTTCTTGATTGTGAAAAGGCCTATTTTAAGTGAGTTTTTATGATATGGGAAGAATAATCATTTATCCTTAATGAAGAAAGGCAGTCAGGCAGAAGCTAAGTAAACCTGTGTGTAGCTACAGAAGACCATGGACCCTCTAGGTAGATGTAAAGGTTTGGTGTTTGGTGTTTGCTGGTGGTAGCCATTTCAGCTATGGTTGAGGTTTTCTGTAGAGCAAGTATGCTTAAGCAGTATTTCAGAGAGAGAGAGAAAGGAGTAGGGAGAGACTGGGGAGCAGGGCTGAGGATGAGGGTAGGTGGCTGGAAGGAAGGCCTTGGATGCTGTACATTTCTTGAATGCTTTTATTTTTAGTACACAGTGTTTTCCTTATTCATGGTTCCTAGCCATGATCACAAAGAAAACATGCCAGTGTTCCCCCTTGTGCATGTTCATGCACAGCTCAAATATAGTATGTAAAAACTTATATATGTTGAACAGTGTCAGGCATTTACACTACAGTTTTAACCATGACTGCTTTGCCCAATATTTCAAAAATCATGAACTAGTTCCCACTCATTAGTCTTGTATATAATGTGGTTTTCACCACAAATTTGGTATTTTTAATTTTAGTAAGAGAATGGAATAAGATCTGTTTGCATAAATGGTGGTCAAAAACTGAAAGGCAATTAAATAGAGTTGATTTTGTATTAATTTAATATTAACCTTGTGTTGTACAATTTAAAATATGTATAAAATATTACTGTGAATTTCCTATTGTCTTTTCCTAATTCTTTAACAAAATTTCTCCTACACAGAGTTACTAACAATATTGACCTTATGGTATTAAGAAGTAAGTTATAAAAAAAAAGAAGTAAGTTAAAATATTTGAATCAAGATGCTTAGAAATGTAGAGTAAATTTGAAGAAACGTTAGGTGGTACAGACAAGAGAGCAGATTTTGGTATCCTACCACTGTAAGGAAACCTGATTTTGGTATTATTTTAGCCTTTTCTATTAATATGGACCAGTAAGTCTGAGGACCAGTAAGGCAAATTGGCATCATTTGACATTTTGGTAAAAAGGCAAGATTTCAAGACCATGCCATGTGAATCAAAATTGGCATTTTAACAAGATTCTCAAGTGGTTTTTATGCATGTTAATATTTGAGAAAATAGTATCAGTACAAACAAATTACTTGTCTAATATGTAGGATTCTCAATAGTTTCATAACCCTAGATCAAATAAATATTTAATATTAAATATTATTATAATCTTTATTGTTTTGACAGCTAATTAACTTTTTAATAGCACTGACTCATCACTTATCTTCTGATTCTGAATACCTAATGATCCTTATTTATTACTGTGATAAAAATGTAAATTTTATATTTTTCTTGTTTGTTATAAATAAAATCAGAAGTGTAGATACCCGTAAGTTTAAGTATGTGAGGTTATACCTTTTGTACTTAAACTTTTATACAGTGCACAACAAATTTGCATGTGTGTATTCTTTGTTTTCAGGATTTCTTACTCAGTGGGGGTGATTCTGAATTTTTCTTGAAGTTATTCGCACTAATTGGTTTTTTGTACTATGGAAATAACAATAAAATTCTTTTATAGTACCTTTGATACTATTTCAAATAAGAATTGTACAGTGACAATTTTTATTACAACTATGAGAATTAGATGATACTAACTGTAGCAACAATTGTTATTGACCTTATGACTCCCTAGTCACTTTTTGTAAGGTGAGTTGGCTTTTTTCTAGGTCATATTCCTTTAAAGACGCTGATGATCTCAGGCCTCCTGTGTATCCAGAATAATACCTTTTATCAAAAGGAAGACTCCACATAAAACTCTAGTTATGCCCCATAGTTGAGAGGATGTGAGCAGAAAGTGCAGTTCTTTTCCACATTTTAAGCCTCTAAGGATTCTTGAAATCACCCAGTCCTCCTCCTGAATTCCAGCTGCCTGAATGTTCCAGTGAAGCTGGACCCAGCACTGAGCTCTTGGGACCCAAGTTGGGAGAGAAGCAAAGTACACTTTTCAGGGGAGGGTCGCAGAGTACTTAGGACAAAGCATCATTCTCTCTCTAAAGCCACAAGAAAGCGCCTTGGAGTCCCTTGTTCCCCATTGTGTAACTTTCTAAGGCAAATTATATAGACTTGAAGAATAGAAATTTTTAGTCCTTAAATGACTGTTTGGTTTTTTTTTTTAAAAAGCAATATTTCATTGCCTTTTTCAATTGTGAAACAACTGTTCACTTTTTTAAAAGTTAAATAAGAGAAATACTTTTTAAAACCAAAATAGATCAAAATGATCCCAGTTTTACGGGATTTTGCCTATTTTGGAAGAATAAAACTAAACTGTTCAAGGTCTTAATTCATGAGGAAAAATGGTACTGCGAGAATTAGGTAAGGCAGTTTAATGTTTGCATCTATAGGAATAATAAATCTGTACTAACGGAAAGCACATTGAAGGAAATATGTATGTTAAATAATGTAATTGAAAAAACTACAAAAAACAATGTAAAAGGCAAATAGATTTGATAGGTACTTAAACTAAGTGTTGTAGATAGAAATTAATGTATAATAGTGTCTTCCTAATCTTTGGATGAAAAATTAATACCCTCTAGTCCTTCAGTTAGCATGGATTTATATTTTTAGATTTGTTGCTTAGTGAAACTATACTTAATATATTGTTATTCAAATTTTAATATTGTGAAATTCTTCACGAAGTATATTGTCTTTGTAACTTGTATGTATCTAATGAGTCTAACAGTGAACATTTTTGAAAATGTTTTTGTGTTTTTTATAGTGGAGTTCTAAGAGCACCTGTGTCTTAATATAAAGTTTTGACTAGAAAACTCAAGATCTATTTCATATTCTGTTAAATTCTCTCAGATGAAGCTTGTTGTGTACCTCTTCTAGTCATGTAGTGATATTAATCTTTTCCTGATAAACATTCTTGTTTCTAGCTGTATTCCTAGTGTTTACATTCCTGAAGATTGAACATGACTGAATATTTTTACATGTTCTGTACCCTTTTAAGGATATAGAAATAAACTGGAGTTTAGTCTTTTGAAGTTTTGTACATTTGTGTAAATGTTCTCCATATGCAGTACTTTATACAGTAAGTGTTGCCTGGTATTATTGAAATAAAAAGTGAAAAATATTTTCCAGATTATGTATTCATTTAAAAACTTTTACAAAAATTTGCAAGTATCGTGATAAGGAAGGAAAAACTATAGGAGAAAGACTTAACGTTGGTTGAGTCCTTGAGAGTGGTTGGGGGTAAGCCATAGGACAGTGACATCTCATTCTTGGTTTTGTGCTTTACTTGGTCTAGGGATGAGGAGCAATAGTGCATTAATATTCATCCAAAAAAGAGTCATTCCATGGGCCAGACAGCAAGGCTGATTACTTGTTACACCAGAAGCACAGGCAAATTGAGATAACATTTCTTTGCCTCTTAACTTTAATACTTAGAGTTTATCTTTTGAGTTCAGAGATAATATGCTGCTTGTACTTGGCATAGGACTTTGTGGCTGAGTTGAATTAAGGCTAGCGTTGGGAAAGAATCAAGGATAAGGTCTCTAATGTATTTTTACAGTAAACTTTTAGAATGTCATTTATTGACACTAGGAAACAGCACTGGTATTATATGAAATGTACTATTGTATATACTTAGGAACAAAACTTCTCTTTTAAAAATCTTTTATATACTTAACCATATATTTGAATAATTTCATTTCATCTAAGGACTCATTTAAGAAATATTCTCTTAAATTTCCGTGAGAAGAGGGCTTGTAGAAAAACAGGGTAAGACCCAACTTTCATAGACCTTCTGTTAGCTCTATGAAATGTGTACTCTTCTAGTGTTTCCATTAATCCTAATAGTTGATTTACCTAATAGAATCTGACTTTGTTAATATCAACATAATTATTTTATAATGTAAAGATTATAAGCAGTTTTAATCATTTAATAATTTACCTTGCATTGCTATTATGTTGGTAGTGATAGCTAATATTTATAAATAAATTATTTTGTTTTATACTCAAAACAATCTTATAAAGTGAGTAGAATCCCCATTTTGCAAAAGAGGAAACTGAAGCTCTCAGGATTGGTGACTTGCCCAAGGTCACCTAGGTGCTGGAGGGCAAAGCCACACCCTGAACACAGGTCTTACAGCTCTCACTTTTATCCCATATTTCCTATAAAGTTATGCTTTAGAATAAAGTCAGAGTGATCTAAATCTAAATCAAGATAAATGTTAGAATTTGAAACAATTAACTATGTTTCACTAATGGTAAGTTATTCTAATGTTAAAAAATATGGTAACATAAAAGTTAAAATAGGTGATTTTTTAACCAGTCAGATTGATGAAGCTTAAAATAATTGGTACTAATGTTGATGTTGGCATAAAAGAAACCATTAGTCACTAAGGTGATTGGCAGTACTGTGAATTGGGAAATTCAGTGGGATCAATCTTTAAAGTGCACCATATATTCTTTAACCTTAGCACTCCTACTTTTCTAAGTATATTCCACTTTGTCTATATTCTACATAAAATTTAGTTCAAATACATAAATATAAACATGCAAACTACTCATTCTAGCATTGATGATATTGGGGGGAGGGAAGCCAGTAATTTAAATGTCCATCAGTAGCACAATGGATAAATTGTGGTTCATATATATAACAGGATATAATATAGTCAAAATTGGGCTGGAGGTTTAGCTCAGCGGCATAAGCACCTGCTTTGCAAGCAGGCGTGAAAAAGACAAAAAAATGAAAAAGACAAAAAAAAGGCATGCAAATCTGTACATGTATACAATTGTTAATATGAGTTAATAGTTAATATATATGTATAATATACACATGTTTACTAGTATGGGAAGAGGAAAGCATAATTTTTCAAAGTGTCATCCAAAGACAGCCTGCATTAGGAAAAATATGTGTTTTTAAAATTGAGATTCTTGGTCTTGTGCTAATACTCCTGAATCAGAATCACTGTGAGTAAAACTTAGAAATCTTTCTTAGCAAGTGATTTAGTGTTCAGTATTTATGAGGTGTGCTTCTCTAGCAGACTGCAATGAGTTGGTTATGTGTTAAAGTGAATTAAAGTTAGATAAGACTTCTTAACAGATCTTGTATTTTAAATGGGGCCTCCCTCAAAATAAAGCCAGTTAACTTAGACCATTAACATAGACCTGTTAAAGATAATTTTTCTGAAATAGAAAAAAATAATTTTACTATGTAAAATAGAGGACACATCAGTTATTTAACTGATGCAGTGCTTTAAAAAATATCTTTGCTATTGTTGAACTTCCCAAAGTATCAGATGACCTATTAATAAAGCAAAACCAAATAATAAAACTTATGCAATGACAAAGTGCTACTTTGATATGCTTAGCTGTGTCTCAGAACCTGGAAGGAAGATATTTGTGTAGGACTTGGAAATCTGTGTTCAATCGGTTTAGAGCGTGTCTGCTAAGGAATGGAACTGACTGGGCTAGGCAAAATTAGTAGTTTAGGACTGATGGTTCCAGCAAATGAGGGTCTTAAATAGCCTTGAGAAGCAAGCTGTTTTCTCAGGTAATCATGCCATTGTTTGCAAACTATCAAGATTTCTTTATGCAAGCAAAAAAAAATTCTTGTTTTTGTTTTATTTTATTTACAATCTTATCTTTCCTGGTCATAGATTTCCTGGAATAAACAACTAAGTCCTATTGACATAGGTGAGTTGTAGTCTTACCTAAGCTGTGTTGACACTGTTGGATTCAATTCTTTTGTCTTTCTTTATGCAAAGATCTAAGACAGTATTACATACATAGCATATTGGTATGTCTTTGGTGACTTCTTAGGGTTTTACTAAAGATCTGAAAGATTTTTTTCTCAAGCTTCTTGACCCCTCTAGCATGCAGTTCACCCTTGTCAAGTGCTCTAATATAATCCAGATCTATTCTATCTGATTATCTTTGCACACATCTGTCTCCCTCACTAAGCTTTAGCACTACAGGAGTTTAGTATAATACCTAATATATGATAGTAAATAAAGAATTGTCTTACTAGATAAACTAGGAATTCTATCGAAGAAACTTAGTTACTTAGGGGAAACTGTGCTGATTCTCTTCCGTTCAAGAGAAGTCTTAAAATTTTTCTGATTCTTTAATGTACAGCTGCGTAGAGATGAAAAGGAACGTTGTAAAACCTAACTTTAATTCTTTTAAATATACCTGAATAGAAGGGTTTTTTTGAAAAAGAAATGATGATGTATCATATTCTTTTTACTGAGAATAATGAATGGGCCAAAAAATTTTCCAGACTATTGTTTAACATTGTTTTTTCTTATTTTCTACACATTATTTTTCTCAAATTTATCTGTGGTTCTTCTGAATGATATCTAGACTCATCAGACCACAAAGTAAGCATGACCTAACTTCAACACCACAAATTCTCACTTCTTGCCTAAGTTATTTCCTTTTGTAGAAACTGCAGGAATGGTATTTCCTTTTACAGAAACTGCAAGAATGATGTTGCTTCCCTAATTTTTCTCTCAGTGAGTTTGTTATTTGTATACAGGAATACTGTTGATTTTTTAGTTGACTTTGTATCCAGCCATACTACCAAATTTGGTTATTAAATGTAGAAATCTTTTGGTGAATTTGGTGGGGTCTTCTATGCAGAGTATCCTATCATCTGCGAATAATGATAACTTAGTCTTCCTTTCCTATCCGTATTCCTTTTTCTTCTTTCTCTTGTCTAATTTCTCTGGCTGATTTTTCCAGAACTATAGTGAATAAGAATGGTGACAGTGGACATCCTTGTCTTGTTCCTGATTCAGATTGAAAGTTATAGTTGTATCCTTGGTCTACTACCATATAATAAAGCCAGTATGGCACTTACTGTACAATTTTTTATCTCTTTAGCCAACATGTTTCTACTTCTGTCTTGTCCAGTGTGCTACATAAGTTTTCACTAACTTTTTCTTTTCTCATTTCACTTGAAACAACCATGATACAACAAAGCACCACTTTCTTTTCTATTCTAATTCCACTTTGGTTCAGAATATTGTTTCAATATTCATTCTTTCCTCAAGTTTTTAATTTGTTTATATCAACCAAGTTGAATTTGATGAGGTAGAATACGATTGAGAGAAGCAAGCAAACCCACAAACCATACCTACAATGGGAAAAAAAATACACTTTCCAGTTCATTGAAGAGAAAAAACTGAGCTCATTTATACCCAGGGTGATCAAGATATATAGTGAATGTTTAAATCTTAAAATATTATTAAAGTAAGACACATTGTAATAAATCTCCCCTCTCTGAACAGTTTTTTTCACCATTCTTGCCACTTTCGGAAGCAGTTCTGGAACACAGTTTTTATTAGTGTCTTTAGGAGACATGATCAAAAGTGCAGTAAATGCTACTGTGGAGTACCATCCACCAGATAGGCAGGCTTGTAAAAACATTGTGGTGTTTCCTCATTCGTTTTATTCACCAAATATGGGTCTGTCTAAAGCCAAAATGACCTTGAAGGAAAAGAGCTTTTAATTGATTCAGGACATAGAGGCAGCCGTATTAGCACAAGTGAAAATACTCATGAAAGAGAACTACCAGAACTCCTTTAGAAATTGACAAGAATGATCAGATAAGTGCGGTTGAAATATGGGTGAGGGAAAGTATTTTGAGAGGGGTTAATGACATTGTCTTTTACTGTAATGAAGGTTTTTTTAAAATTCACTATTTACAGTTATACCATTTATAAGCAGTATAGCACAATACTGTAGTACTGCTAGTTACAAGTAGAATGTGGTATTAAAGCCCAATCATAGATAGTTCTAAAAGACAAGAAAGAAATTCTTTCTAGTGAGATCAAATATGAGCACTGTTTCTTACCTGCTTTGTATGAAGGGGAGATATCCCAAGGAACAGATCTTTAGCATTTACACCCAACCAGGGGGGCTGGGGACATGGAAGTGATGGCGTCAAAAGATTATGATAAAATTTGGAAAATGGGCTCAGTTCTGAAACAAAACAACGATGTTCACTATCACCACTCCTGTTCAATATAGTACTTGAAACTTCAGCCAGAGCACTTGAAAGAGAAAGTAAAGGGAAGAAAGGAAGAAGTCAGACTGTCCTTATCACAGATGATATGATCCTTT